GCTGGGACAACCCCAGCCCCCTCCCCAGCCCCCCCAGGCCAGTGGGGCTCAGCCAGGTGCTGAGGGTGATGGAGGGGACACGAGGCATTTGTGGCAGGTGCCTGTTCCTCCCCAAGAGCCTCACCAAATTTCTCCAGTGGAGAAACAGCCAAGAACAGGCTTTCCCAGAGGAGAACGGGGGAAGAAAGGATTTCCCCTCCCTCCAGTGGGTTTCACCCACCCTCTCGGCTCTCCAGCACCCACTGCGGGTCTGGGACCTGCCACAAATTTAGCTGAAGAGGCGAGGCAGGGGCAGAGTTGCTTTCAGCTTGTCCACAAATGTATTGATGGAGACCTAGATCCTCTGAGGGCTTTGTCTTGGCTTTTTGGACTCTGTTTCCCCACCCCACAGGCTGAGGAAGAGGAGGCTGCAGCGTTGGGCAGGGTTGCCAGCCCACCGCCCCCTTGGCCCGCACAGGGACTGGGGGGGTCACCAATACATTTGTCACCTTTGGGCAACTCTGGGCAGGGAGGGGACACAAGCGTGGGTGGAGAAAACCGTGTTGGCACAGAGCGAACATGAACTTTCACGCGGACAGAGGAGCCTGAGAGGGAGGAAGAAGAGGAAAAAAGGGGGATGGAGAGAGCGTGGGAGGAAACAGTGGAAGGAGAGTGGAGGAGAAAGCATGAAATGGGAAAGAGGGATGAACTTTGGGGCTCTGCAGAAGGACAGCTCAACCTGACATGCCCCATCTCCCAGTCCTTGGAAGAAGAAGAGGGGGAGGCAGGCAGCCCCTGTGGCTGCAGCTCCCATTCTGACCCAAAATACTGCTGCACACACCACAAGCCCAGACTAGAATTCAGTCATGTGTCACAACCACCTTCATGGGGAGGGCTGGTGCCCCCCAAGGTGCCAGCAGCCCCCTGAATAAGGGACAAGACCTTCCAGCAAAGCAAGTCTGCAAGCCCCCAGTGATGTCCCGGTGGGCACAGGTCACCCTGACCTATGGCTGCCGGGTAGGGACGTGCCTGGTGCTCAGCCCCGCAGTGGGACGGCTGGTGAGGTGCTGTGAGGACAACCTGGAGGGGATGGTGGTGGTGGGGATGATGGTGGTGGGGATGGGGATGGTGGTGGTGGAAGAGGAGGGATGGATGCAAAGGGCTGGGGTGATGCAGGGAAGGGCGGAACCATCCCCCCCACCCCAAGTTCATGTTCAGCAGACGGCCACTCACCAGGTAAGCAGGCCTCAGAGCACAGTTTATTGTCCAGCGCTTTCACGTGTGCGATGCCCAAGTCATTGTTATTGTCACACCTCAGACCGAGGAAAGCGCCTGTCCTCGGGCCTGGAAGGGAGTTAAGGCAGTTAAAGCAAAAAAAAATGGGGCTTGCCGTTGCCTTTTTTGAGGGGGAGTGTGAGGTTTCTGGGTCTTTTCCTCTCCCCTCCCCACCCTCTTTCAGAAAAAAAAAAAGAAAAAAATATTAAAAAATTATGCATCTAGATGGGAGCGGGTGAAGAGCGGACAATAACGCACACAGGCACGGTCCGAGCTGCTCCTTTTCTTGCCCCGGCCGCAGCGCAGAGCAGCGAAACAGCGACGATGGGCACCGGCACACGTCGACCTGCTCCCCCACCGCCTGCCCGGGGTTCAACCAAACCTTCCCCCCGGCACGGCCAAGTGGTCCCTGGTCGGTAGAGCTGGGCCGCAGTGGCACCCGTCACCTCCCGCCGGAGCCGCTCTGGCACCGTCGTGGCGTGTGCGAGAGCCGCGGGGATGCCGGGCGGAGGCAGCAACTGGATGCGTGGGGCAAAGAAGCCGTAGCCAAGCTTTGCAGGGGGGATGGAGGTTTTTTGGGGCTGAGGGAGGTAACTGCTGCTTAGCATCACCTGTACAAGAGACCAGCCCCCAAGCCGTGACCTGCGTCCATTGGATGCAGCCGACTAAGCCTCAGGAGGGACGTTCCCAAATAACACCAGTAGCCCCATTGAGAATGGGCACAGGACCGCGTCCTGCAGAGGGAGGCTATCCCGCTCCCGGAGATGTTGGGACGCCCGTGGATGTCCACCACAGCCCCTGGTTGCTCCCCAGTTGTCATGTTTGAGTCTCCCCGTCAGCAGGAGCCTCCCTCCAGGGCAGAGGCCGTGTTTTGGGGATGGGTGTTGGTGCTTGCCAGCTCAGCTGAGTGTCCGCCATGGATAGGGTAACAGTTTTTGGTATATTTTTGCCAACCAGAGACTTGCAAAGATAGGAGGGGGCACATGGGAGCCTCCCTGTCACCCAAAGGAAATCTAAGGCGGCTGGTGGCCGGTGGCACAGGCGTGACCACAGCTTTCCTTGGCTATCTGAGCACACGGGAGGAGGCAAGAGGAGCCCTCCATGTGAGTGGGTCGGCTTGTGAAAGTACATTGAGAACAGGCCAAAAAAAAAAGAGGAAAGCATCCCAAAGGGAACAGTTTTGCAGCCCCTTCCTACGGGAAACTAACCCAGAGAGGGGTCCCTAAGGGGGAGGCTTTCGGAGAGGCAAGGAAAGACCTTCTTGGTGAGGGGAAAAACACGGAGGAGCCTCTTTGCCACTTGGCCCGTTGGAAATGCCGTCGGATCCTGCATGCCAGTCGTCGCCTGCTCCATGCCCTGCACCGTGCCGGCTGGCTTCCCCCCACTCACTGGTGGTCAACCCATCTGTGA